GTAAGTCAGTGTATATGATAAACGCGACAACATAAAGATTAAAACTCAGTGTATGCGCGATCCCAAGATATTAAACCAAAATAATGAAATGTGATACAATAAAAAATAATTACCAAAAATCACTCGTTATTTATACATATTAAAATGATTAGGACCCAATAAACTAGCAATGATAAACGTCATAGACCAAAATGCGAATGAAATAATATTGTTCAAAATTATAAGCAAAAATATATTAAGAAAACCCAAAACGAGGAGTTGTTTATCATTACTAGCAAATATTACAATTTATAAAAATGTGTACATACCTAATTACAGCAGAAAATCGGTAACAATCACAATAGTTATATTAAAATATATATCACAAACTTCTCCTTCTTTCTTCCCTATTTCTATATTTTAAACATCTCGGCCACTTAAAGCTAGAATGTGTAACATAAACAGATCATCCCTAATATTTCGACGTTCAGATACAAAGAAGTGAAATTTTAAAATGCAATAGGATTTTAAAACAAAAAATAACTTAAAACTATAATATTATTTTTAGCGGATTATTTAAATTTTCCTTGGTTAAAATAGCGCCAAATTTGAATTTAAACGATTATGTACCACAGGACCCTTACAAAGCTTAAAATTATTTGAAAAATCAGGGTGGGGTTGGAACGAATTTTTGTTGGGCGGTTTATACGAAACTTATTACATAATATACAAAGTAACTAAAAAAGTATCTTATTAAGTATCTTAAAAAGTAACTTAAGATAAGTATTTAAGTTCCTTTTTTTAAAGAGTAACTAGATACCCAAAGTAACTTCGGATACTTTTTAAAAGCATCTTTGACAGCTCTGAGTACTATAAACAAATTGTGGCAACGATTTTTATTAGTGCTATTATTGCCACATTGTAATATTTCAAAATGTAAATTCAAAAAATAATTTGGAGTATCAATCCGGGCCCGGTACCTCTCTCGTGCTAAGCGAGCATTAACAAATAAAAGTATACACAAAAGTGCTCTTTTAGTTCCACCCTTACTTCCTAAGAAGTCCCACATTAAACATTAAAGCATTTATTTATAATATTTGTGCTACAAAAAAACATATATTTGTATTTTTTGTTGTAACATAAGGTTATGATATATTATGATAAAAAAAAATAATTTACCAAAAACAAATGCCGATCTTTCAAAAATTAAACATTTAGTGGGTATATATAAGGGTATACACACTGAGAAAGAAGCTTGCAAATAAAATGTTTTTTGCTTTAAAATGTTGCACGTAGTAACTTTCATCAACCTTAAATTTAAAACTTTAACTTCAACCAGGGGCGTGCTGGGCCGCCGGGACCCCGGGCGAATGCCCGGTGGCCTGCGCTACCATGGTGGTCTGCTGGACTTGTTATGGTATGCAAATAGAAAAAAGATTTTTATACCAAACAAAAAGTTTTTTTAAGTTATATTATTAAACACTAAATATAAATTAGAAAGTTTTAATTGACTCCCGTAAAAAAATCTAAAACACGTATTTTTTATGCTAACCCTTAACCAAGAAGTCGCAGGTGGAAACCTAAAGCTGGGGGATATTTGGGGATATTTGGGGATATTTTGGATGCTTTCGTAATTATTTTTCAGTTTCTTTGGAAATCCAAACTGATCCGGGGCCACTTCGATAAAATGCAATTTTAGTCAATTTATAAATTATCGGAAGGGGGGATCAGCTCGGATTTATAGAGAAACAGAAACATAAATACGAAAGCATCCAAAAAAGCCCCCTCTCGCAGTTTTTGTCTTGATTTATTTGTGATAATACTTTCCTTTAATATTAGTGTGAATTGACGTAAATTTGTAAGCTTTTATGCTGATTGCTGAAGAGATAAAGGTGCAAAATGGTTTAGATTGTGACTTAATAATTGAACTAGCTGAAAACAGTTCTTTGTTGCGAAGAGAGTTATCACGGGACGTTTTATCAGTCGAGGTATTTAATTGTGATGTATTTTTACAATTTATATGAAATTGGCTTGGGCCTGGACTGCTCTAGTCCAGGCCTGCATTGATTCTGCCAGCACGCCCCTGAAGTCTTTAACTAGTGTAAAAGGTTCCTATTAAATTATTATAATAATTTTTAATTGAAATATTGCCTTAAATATATAATATTAATAATCTTATTTGTGTTTGGAAAACAAATACAATTTTTACACGGGTCACACCAAAACAGAAGAAAAGGAAATGCAGTTCCTACTATTTCCTAGGTTACCTACATTAAATTAAATAACAATGAACTAAAATTTATTTATAAAAAAATATTTGACAAATTGAAGTTTTAAATTTAATATAATAAATAAATACCTAGGTAACCTACATGTAATTAAATAACAATAAACAAAAATTTATTTATAAAAAAAATAACAAATTGAAGTTTAAATTGAATAATAAAAAGTTACCCATATAAAACAAATTTATTGCCTGAATTACAAGTAAATAAATGTTTAAATAAAAATAATTAAAATTTACATTTAGGATCCTAAACTCGAGTTTAGAAACTCATCATCATATAGGAATAGCAACATTTATTTTGCAATGTTGAAATATTACAAACTTGTAGATATAAATTTCGTGCAATATTGCACAAAATTTATATAAAATTGTATACAAGTTTATAATAAGTCTAATTTAAAATATTTATAATAAGTCTAATCTAAAATATTACACTAATAATATTTTCGTAACGTTGCTTCTTAGATAATAAATAGGCATTTAATTTACAACATTTTTAAAACATTACATATTGTAATATTAATCTTAGATTTAAATGAAAAATGCTGTTTTAAATATACAATACTGCGATATTCAACAATTCCTTAAGGTTTTTAAATATTGCAATTATAATATAACATATATAACTTTAGTGTAATGTTTCATCGGAAATATAACATAATAGACTGGGGCAAAAATATCAGCTTCGAGTGCAAAAAAGACACTTTCTGCGCTTGTTACGTATTCTCTCACAAGCAAATCTCTGGACCAGACGTTAACTTTAATATTTAACATAAACTTAAGATTGCAATGAATATTTTAGTAATATTTTATATGTAAGATACTAAATGAAATGTTTCAGAAAAATTTCCAGCAACGTTGCAGAAATCTTGCATCAAGAAACCTTACATAAGTAAAATTTGGTAACATTGCAAATAAAACTTTTTAGTAACATTTTTTTAAACATTACATACTAATGTTCCCGACCATTCGATAAGGGCTTCCTGCAAAGATGCAGGAAAGTTGACACAAGTATTTTTTTAACTTTCTAAAAATATTAATTTTATTAAATTTAAAAAAAAGTCTTCGTTTCCTATTTAAATAAAAAAGTACAGAAAATGAATTTAAAAAAAATATTGTAGAAGAAACATAAGAAAAGCCTTCATCAGTCTCTTAGTACAAAAAATTAGTTTACTTTCATTCAACAATGGTTTACAGTATTGCGGAAAGAGTTAAAGTGATCACCCCTTTTTTGCGTTTAAAAAAAACACTAGCACAAAACTCCTCTGCTCGTTTTTGTTTTTGCCACCCTGTATATTATATAAGTTAAAGAAATTTCTTTCTTCTTTCCAGTTAACTGGCTTGGATTTTTTGTTAATCAGCATTGCAAATAAAAATTAAAATTTTTTGAAATATTTTCTACCGTGAAATTGTATTTAACCAGAGTAATAACGGAGCCCAGGCCCCCTGCCCCCCTGTAAATACACTACTATTTATTGGATATTTTATTAAATAAACAAACATAAAAAGTTAACAACCAATTGCTATAACCTTTACAGGGCCGGCCCGAGGTACGGGCGAACCGGGCAACGGCCCAGAGCGGCATAATGGGGGGCGGCATTTTTACGATTTGTTAATGATAATCAAGAATAATAATAATTAAGAGTTAAGAAATACGCTCGAGAAATGCAGTTTAGATAATTTAATATATTTGTTACAAAGATTTGAAAGAGGCGCTTTTTTTCATTCGTTTCTTCAATCACATCCTGAAGTTTTTTATACTTTTGTTTGACAATTGACAATTAATAATTGACAAATATTATATCACGATTGGGCTTTTAAAATCAGTGCATTGCTAAGGTAGTTTGATAAAAAGATTCAGGAACTTGTTATAATAACAAAAGAAGGTCGCGTGCGGCGGAAAATCGAGTACTAGCACCAACCTTTTCCAAATTCTTGCAAAAAGAACCATCGTAGGCAGGTAAAATAATTATACTATAATTAAACAATATTGCATATATGAAAATGAGGTTTTATTTTTGTTGTGTACATCTAAACATTGTTTTTAGAGGTCTAAAATCAATGATCTGACGTGCATCACATCAGCATTCGGTTTTGCCAAAGTCCGCTAAACTCATTAAGTAATAAAAAAAAATTAACCTATGAATATTACCAGTAATGGGTCAAGAAAGTTTCTTAAAGAAACTAAGAAAATTAAATGTTTCATTACGTAATTATTGAGTTAATTTCCTTTTAAAGATGATTCTGTATACTTTTACATTAAAAATACGAAATTTCAACAGCAATTATGTATGTAATAATCTGAGCTATTGCGGAATATTGCGAAAGTTAATTTTAACAAACCAAAGAATTCTTGTAATTTAAAAATATTGTTTAATTATATTCACTATAATAGTGACACTATTTACAGTATATAATAATATATAGGATATATATAATCATTGACAAGTGATGCAATTATGTATATATATTTAACAGTATATTGCCTTACCTAGTAATTCTAAAGCATAAAAACTCTTATAAAAAATTAATAAATTTGAACAAAATAATTACTTACTACTTTTTTTCCTATTCCTGCTAAATAAAATGGGGGCGGCAAAAATATCTTCGCCCGGGGCGGCAAAAAAGGTCGGTCCTGCCCTGAAAAGGTCTTTATTTTAAAGTTTAAAATAAAATTTTTAAATTCAAATTAAAGTGTGTTGTAGAAACGTCTTTTAACTTATTTTTTCTATAGATTTACGTTTTAATCGAATCCCTGGCTGACGGAGGCGTAAAAATGGGATTACCGAGAGATTTAGCCTACAGATTAGCTTCGCAAACAGTTCTAGGAGCAGGAAAAATGGTCAGAGACACCAAAGTACACCCAGGACAGTTGAAGGACGACGTTACTTCGCCAGCAGGTTCGACCGCTGCAGGATTACACTTTTTAGAACAAAAAGGTAAGAACAAACGCAACAAAAAAACCGTTTATAAAAATATTTATTAAAACATACGTTTAAACAGTTGCCTACAGCTGAACTATGGAAATAATTAAAGATTTCGTTTTTTTGCAGGATTCCGGGCAGCAGTAATAGGGGCAATTCAGGCTGCTACCGAAAGATGTCGCGAGGTCGGAAAAGAGGAGGCCAAATAAATAGTTCTTGAACAATGGACTGATTAGATTTTAGTTTTGTACATACATATTTATATGCCAAAATATATTTAGGTTTTTTAAATATATTTTATTTTACAAAAATTATTATTGAGAGTTAGGTTAGGTAGATCTGACAGACGTTGAATTTTTTTATTGGTCCAAATGTGGCTATTAATGAATTTTTAGACCAAGGGCCTAGGCTGTTCAAAACCTAACCCGATTGGTTTAAATAATTTTTATGTGGCTAAGCTATAATCAATCACTTAATATTAATATTAGTAACCAGTTTTAACAAAAATAACGTTTAAATTGTAGACCGATTGGATATAATAATAATTAAGTTTCAAACAAAACTACAAATTTTGTTTAAAAGTTATTTCATGGCATTCATCCACGATATAATGTCGCAACTCTTGTAGAGACCCCGGTCTGTTGATTAAAAATATCTTTTGAAATAGCCCAACAGAAAGAAGTCTAGAGGAGTCAACACTTGAATTTTGGCCGGCCAATTCAGAGCTCTTTTTTGTCCAATCTATTCTCCAGAAAACACTTATTCTAAAAACTGTCTAACACATAGTGTAAAGTGCGGAGGTGCCCCCATCTTATTGAAACATTAAATGGTCTTCCAAGTAGCAGTTATCGTTTTTAACAATATCTATCAGTGAGAGATAAACTACATCCTTTAGTAATTTCACACGTATCTTCTATCAGGGTACCATTAAGAAAGATGAGTCCAACGAGACGATTTTCAAAAATACCTTTCCATACATTAAGTTTTTAGGAAGCTGACTTCGTAGAAAAACCTTGGATTTGCATCTGACCAGTAGCGACAATTATGGCGATTAACAGTTAAATTAAATAAAAATTTACACTCGTCTGAAAAACAGATGTAAAAAAGTATATTCTTATAATTAGCTATTAACTCATAGTTTACCAAAATCCCAGTCGATAATCAAAATATTCATATTTTATTCATGGACTAAATTAATCTTGTAAGGACGAAATTTATAAGATCCAGGGATCCATTGGATGGTCGTTCTAGAAATGTCTCAAAGTTGGGTTAGCAACAAAACTCCTACATCAGCAGCTTTTCTGACTGGACGTCCACGTTTAGTTCCAAAAATCCGTTTTTTGTTCGCTACTTGTTCATTTCCGAACTTACTATTTCATTAATTTATTTTTTCCCAACATGAAAATGAAAATGAACTAATTATGTGTACTGAAAAGACTGATAAAGGCTTTTCTTAAGGTTCGATAGTTTTTCATGTTATTTATAATAATTATTAATAATTTATTATCTCTACTTTTTTATTTAAAAACAAACAAAATCCGCGGTCGCAAATTTAATTTTAAATATCTCGAAAACGAATACATGGAATTTAATTTTTTTTCTTCATAATACAAGACCTTTTAAATGAGGTATCACTTGCCCTATCATGACATTTAAAATTTAAGGGCTTGTAACAACTACCCGAAGGGGTGAAGCGATTTGCAAGTGAAATCTATTGCAAAAGATACTTCCCTCGAAACTAAAGTTGAACCACCCCAAGTATGAAAAAAATGAATACTAGATATAGGTGTTGCATCTTCTGTAGTCATGTTTTTAATAGGTTATTTATTGTTCTTACATTAGATTAAATTACTATTTTATGCTGTATATTAACTGCTATGGAAACCTTATTACTTTTAATATGTTTATTTTATATCTATCTTTGCTTTCAATAATAATATTTTGCCCTTAATGTCTATAGAAAACTACGAGCACGGTCCCTTAATCAAGTCCTAGCTAAACCAGGCCAACGCATAAATTTGACGCGAGGTTTAATAATCAAGCCTCCGGATTTTAATTATTAATTTATTATTTAAAAATTACAAAAAAATACCAAAATTAAGTACCTAATTAAAAAAATAAATAATAATGAAGTTTATAAATTATGACCACAAAAGTAAAGAATGTCTAAAAGTTAATGTGCAGAAGCGCATGAAATTTTAATCTTTTCCAGGATCGTAAATAAGTATCGGACCGAAGAAACTGATCACTGGAGGGTACGAACGAATAATTCATCTTAAACTGAGGATAACGATTCAAATCTTATTAATTCTGCCTTATTCTCAGATAAGATCGTGTTTCAGTCCTATACATTGTTGCAAATGTAAACGAGTTTCAGAGGCGTATTTAAATTTCTTATTTAAAAGACTGTGCATAATTGAATTCAGTACAGACATAAACAAATGTTTTTAATATTTCAAGTCATGAAAAATCTAAACGTTGGTATTAGTCAAATATCATACATATAAGATAAAGTCATATAAACATATGGTACTTTTCCGCAAGAGTATGCATTTTTTACATCATATACTTATCCACGCTCATTTAATATGTTTTTCTACATACTTTTGCGGACGCGACTGCACTGATTAAAATGATATCCTTGTGGCAAAAGAATCTATTCATTTGAAAAATATTGATTCAATTTAAAGAAACTGTATTTATTTTAAATTTAAAATTTATCAGTTTCTCTTCGGATAAGATAATTGCTGCATTTAGGTGTAATTCTCGATTCTTTTGAAATCTAATTACTTTAAAACAAAGTAAAGGCATTTAGACAAAAGAAATCTTCAATTCATGTCTTTCTGTCAAAATTTAATGTTATTGCTATAAATCCCACGGTTTTGTGCCAAACTACACTGATAAACATGGATTATTTTAGGCAAAAGAATCCATTCATTTGAAAATTATACTTTCAGTTTAAAGAAAGTTAACTTTTTGCAAATTTTTTGGCATTTGGCTAAAATAGCTGATGCATTTAAGGCAAACTCTCGATTCTTTTGGCTAAATCCTTTTTAATAACTTTATTTCAAGAACAAAGCATTTGTGGGAAATCACTCGGTAATTTGATAGTTCTTGCAACAAGAGGGGCCTTCAGTATCAGTCCAAGCGTCCCGTCGACAGTACTTCTTTTTTATAAAAGGTATTCATCTCGCGCGAATTAATAATTATATACTTTTTCTATGGTTTTAAATCAAGATTATTTGTAGATTGAGATTATGGGTACCATAAAGGAACTGGTTAAACTTTGGAACATTATTCATTTATTTCCAAAATTTGAAGGTTAGTTAGTGTTTTTATACGCTTTTCCAACGTTTAATTTTATATGTAATGTATTCTTATTTTTAAAATTTTAATTAATTAGGAATCTAATAAAGATAAATATCTAATTAATAAGCTAAAATTGACTAAAATATAATTATTTCATCCTTCTCCCAAAGATTAAAATTTTGTAAGAAAATAATGCGGTATTTGTCAATATCTCGCGAGAGCGTCAATGTCACTTTGCGCTCGAATTACACACAGGATTTTTTCTACAACCGGTGTTTCTATAAGAATGTTTGGTAAAAATAATAATTATTGATAACATCAAATTTGATGTTTGTGCCAAAAGTCGCAAAAACACTAAATGTTTCTAAATTATGGTTTCCATGGCAACTAATCGAGCGACAAACTTACTTTGTCGCTCGGCGAGTGACAAAGTAAAAATACGCTCGCTCCTCGGAAAAGTGCAACTTTGCGCTTTCTTTTGGAAGCGCAAATTTGTACTTTTCGCTTGGTTGAAGAAAAAACCTTTTTCCTTGCAGGCACGAGTTGTTTCAGGGTGTTTCCATTGTAACGGCTGCGACACTGACATTGTGTTTTTTCATGATAATAGTGTTTGTTCATATATGTCAAGATACGTTAATATACAAAAATAGTATAAAAAATAAGATATTAAACTCAAACAAAATGTCAATAAAAACGTGTATAAAAAAAACTTTTATAAAGTCATAAATCGAGTAACAGGAGCGACATTAGAAAATCGGCAAATGGGACCAAGTTTACTTCCAAAGTTAAAGTTAATCCTGTAAAATTTTGATGAAAGCATACAGTTATATCTTTTTGTGTAAAACTTGAATAGTAACAAGAACGTATTTTAAATGCACAAATATTGTATACTTTATTTTCTAAAATGTTCTCAAAATGTAACGGGTGTGACATTTAAACTTTTTATCGAGTATTGCATCACAATGTACGAATATTTTAAGGTTATAAATTACGTTGCAACTAAATTATTTGACTCCAGATATAGTTTTTGTTTAAATAACACATCTGATTTTTTTTCAAGGTGTGGTAAGGTTTCGGGGAAATACCCTTCAGTGAGAGGAGCGAGCCGGAAAGCTTTTACAGACGTATAGTGCTATAATCTAATATTTTTTATATTATATGGAATTGACTATATCTCAAAAACTGTTTTACTTTAATAACTTTTGACGTCATTTTTGTATTTAGCGGTCATACTATATCGGATCAATGGTTTTCGATGACAGAGATAAATATTTAAAGACTTTAAAGACAGAAAGGAAGCGACAGATTTTTCGCGACAAAGTGCAAGTCTATCAAACTTTTTGTGGTGCAAAAATGGAAAAAAGAATTAAATTTTACATACTCACAAATTTTAAACCAGAACATACTCTTCGAAAATGCAGCGAATCAATATTAAATCTTTTAAGAAATTATTGATGATAAATTTCCCTTATCGGGTAAACATCCAGCCTAAATGCCAGAAGTTTTAAAAACTTACGTTGAACATTTAGTAATATAACTGAGTTATTATAGTGCGAAGAACAAATAATAGAGCAAAATTTAATTTAAGATATTACTAAACAGAAGTATAAGGATCTTATAGCGGTTTCAGTTTTAAATCCACGCTAATTTCTGCTAATAAAACCCAATAATTTATATGCTGGGGAAACTAAATTTTGTATATGACTCGAGAATGTTAATTTATTATCAAAAAATACGCAAAGATCATTAAGAAAGAACATTATTGTTTAAGGAGTAAGATATTGGTAAGTTATCGAATCATTCTTTGGGAAAAAAATACAAGTTTTGCATTTAAAAATATTTAGAACCAGCTTGTTTAATTTGCACCATTGATGCACAATATTTAAATGATTTGGCAGTACAATTCATCATCCATCCGTTGTAATTTTAACAAAACAACTTCAAATCATCGGCAAATCATCAAGGGACCACCTGAGGGACTCCAGACGTAGGAACAAAACTAGTACACCTAAAACCATTAAAAAATACGTATAAA